TCTCTATCTTTCCTATTCTAGCTATAGTTATTTCAAGGGTCATTGGTCTATGTTGGAATTTCTTTCAGGGGTCTAAGAGACCATTGGTCGCCTGGAACAACATTTTCTTACCAAAAGATGATGGAGGACTTGGTTTCAAAGATTTGAAATGTTGGAATTCAGCCCTACTGTGAAAGTCACTGAGGAATATTCATAGAAAGAATGACTCACTTTGGGTCAAGTGGATTAACAATGTGTACTTAAAGGGAATAGATTTATAGGAGTGTGTTGCCCACAAAGAAGACTCGCCTTTGATAAAGAGGCCGCTGAAAATCAGAGGCCAACTCACTGGACCTGCTGGGAACACACGGGTTGCTGGAATGGATAGAATCTAGTAACTTTTGAATGGATAGGGCTTACGGGTTTTTCAAACAAGCTAGGGTAAAGAGGACATGGACACCTGAAGTTTGGAGATCGTACATTACTCCTAAACACTCATTCATCCTTTAGCTGGGAGTGCAATCCAAATTGCTTACTAATGATAGGCTATCATATCAAACATTGATGGAACTTGTGGATTCAGTGGTTTGCAAGAGGAAACTGCCAACACTTATTTCTCTAACAATCTTTCTCCTTTCATGTTTGAAAGAATATTGAGGTCTGGTTGGGCATTAGAAGAGCAATGACTGCCATTGCTAGTGCATTGATAGATATAATGGAATTGTATGTTTGGTAATGCATTGATGGTTGGGCAGTGAAGAAGAAATGAAAAAAAATAAGAACTGCTTTATCAGATAGGAAGTAAAGAATTACATTGATGAATGCCAATTGATGTAGTTACTGAAAATTTTGATCTTGCAGTTTCTTAAATTTACACCAAACCAATATCTCATAGGTCATATGAGGCTACTGAAATAAAGCAAGAGATGATTTTCAAAAGAAAGCGTTCATTTGTCACTTTTTAATTCCAAATCCAATTTTTTTTAAGAAAAATCGATAAATACTCCAAACACTGAATAATCAGCCAACAATAATCAACTCTATATGTGAATCAAGTACAACAACAGTTACTTAAAATGTTTGGTTTTCAATTGCAACAAGAATAACATTTTTCCATATAATGACAAGTATCATGAACATAAAATTTTGTTGACAATCAAATGGATTTGCCAACAGTGAATGGATGACTACAGATGCTTCAATAAGAGTGCAATTCTAACCAACACATAAGAGATAAAGAGGTAGCTCAGCAAAAATCTTATCGTAACAAGCAAAATGAAACTAAAACCTAAAGATCGACGATCGACAATGGTGACTTCGACGGTTGGAGAACTCATTTGGATCAACACTGACAACCGAAGATTGGAGCCTCAATGTTTGAAATACATAGCATCAACAAATCCAATTAAAAAAAATTGAGAATCTGATCACGAGAAAAGATATAAAAAGGCAACTCAGGCAGAAATCTTTCTGTAACCAGCAAAACGTGACACGAAAGAAGGATTTCAGATCGAGGACGAAGATTTTGGTGGTTGGAGAGCTCGTTTGATTAATCGACAACCAAAGATTCAGATTTAGGATTAGTGGAGAGAGAGACAGAGAGCTACAGATCGGGGGCGACGATTTGGGTGTTTGGAGAGCTCGTTTGGTTAATTAACAAGCAAAATTTCAGATTTAGGACTAGTGGAGAGGCAAAGAGCTCATTGAAGATTGGATCATATGGAATTGCAAATGGGTACATAGTTAATCAAACCAATAAGCCCAACTAGAAATAGAGAGTGGAATTTTTGTAAATAGGTACACTGTTAATGTAACCAATAAGCCTAAAAAATAATTGGTCGGTTCAATTTGCATTTAATGAATGAATTGACATTATTACCTTTTCAAATTTGTAGTATAGGTTATGTGTCAAATTTCTATTTGCCAACATTATTTTTAATTATATAAAAAGTTTGTCTTTCTTGTGGAATTTCAAATTGTTACTAAGGGCATTTTGGTCTAATTTTTTGTCAAAATGGACATGAGACGGATTTAGGACATTTTTGCAAATGACCATTGAAAAGTGGACATTTTTTTGCAATTTCTTCTATATTTATTGTACATTTTTTTTTTTTTTCAAATAGAAGCCAAAAAAAATTCAAACCTTCGAATAGAAACTCTATGGATCAGAAGAATTTAAACCTAAATCAAACCATCACTCTTTTTACCAAAAAATCACTGAAGACTCTTAAACTCATAAAAATATTCTTGGGAAAGTGGCTACAAATCTTGGGAAAATCCCTTCCAAACATGCGCATAATTTAACAATTCTTACTCGATTATTGTCTTTATCACAATCAGTCTTCCCGCTTTGATTTTCCACTTCTTAAAATCTTGGTCATCCTTTTGTGGTGTGACATCACCGTCGTTGACTACATCCCACAAGTTTTGCCCCTAGAAAGATGACTCGATGCACATTTGCCGCATGGTGTAGTTTTAATTATTTAACTTCTTAATTCCACATATTACCTTAATGTCGTCCAGCATGACTTGATTAACCCCCTCGTTACCAAGAAAATTTTATAGAAGCTTCACAATCTCAATTTGTGTGTGATCTTAAAAAGCTTAAAAAGTCTGTCCTTTGGTTGCCTTGCTCTTACCAAATTGACGATTTTAATCAACAAAATATTATTTTATTCACAAAAGGCTCTTATACAATTTGGATATACACACCAAGGACACTAATAAGTATAACATTATTCATTTAAGGGAACACCTAGCACTCTCGTCACTATCATACTCAATTTACTGATCTCCCTCATCAATTCATACATGCACAATATCCTATTTATAGGAATTCAAATATTTGGTGGTAGGATAGGGATGGGACAGGGCAGGGCTGGGATGAATATTTTTGAAAGTGCTTTTAGTGGAGTTGACATTAAATCAACTTCCTCTAAAAAATCTTCTAAAAGCACTTTCAAAAATATTCATCCAGGAAAAGATTTAAAAGAAATTGAAAAATTTGATGATATATTCAGGGCAGAAGTTTCAAAATTTGCCCAAGGGAGATCGATTTATATCAAATTTTATTCAATAAGTCCCGAAGTTGATGGAAGGATATATTATCCTGCTGAACATATCATTACAATTGGATATGTTGGCCGAGATTTCCAGATTGAAGTTGGCCGAAATAATAAACCATTGCCAAAAATCAATAGATCATGGATAAAATCCCGGAGAGTTTTGGGGATGAAAGTTCTTTACAACATTGCAAAGAACTTATATGATAAAAAATTCAGATGCTTGTGCCAATATGAAGGATGGACACTCCTTACAAACAATGGAAAAGAAAAATCTACCATTTTGAAAGAATATATCCAAAAATTTGATACCCATCAAATTAGTGGAAGTCCAACAACAATTCAAGAATCATGCAGATTGAGGGATGGAAAATAACCTACCACTACCAAAGCATCTGGCCAGCTGTGTATAAAGACAAAGATGGAAAAGCAATAATAAAAAGCATCTAGCCAGTTGCACATGAAGCCAAAGACGATAAGGCAATAATAGGAGAAAAGATGCCACTCAGATGAAAAAGCAAAAAATGCATGTGGAGATGTAGACCCCAGAAGAAAAAGAATAGAGAGGCATGTGAGCCTTTTCAAAATTATGATGTATGCAATGATGTAATAGATCAATAATAGCAAGTTTGAGTCATGTATAAATAGAGGTCCTTGGGGAAAGAATGGGGCATCTCGAGTTAGAAACCATTCTCTTTCCTTAAGCTTTTCAAAACCAGTTTTTCTGGAAACCCCTTGTATACAATAGAAATCTTGTATAAATCATTATAGAAATAAAATTCCAGTCTTTTGATATCAGAAAAAATATGAGTTTCTAAACTTCCTATCCCATAGATTCTTGATAGATTGAAGAAGATAATCTCTTTCTTACTTTAACAAAGAGAGAATTTTCTTTACTTAAGATCTTTACTCTTAATTCTAAGAAAAGATACAGTGAGGGCAAGAAGCTGAAATAGCAGAATTCCCATTGAGGCAAAAGGCCGTTTGAGGGAGCAGTTTGCAGATTCAGAGCCTGAAGGTCACTCGGTTCTAAGAATACAGATTTAAGATCAAGAGCAAGGTAAAATTATTGTTTTTGTTAAATTTAGAAAGAACTCTTCTAATATCTTGAAAGAATCGTAGGGATTATTACTTTTTATGTTTGCAAAAAACTTTTCTAACATGTTATTATTATTCATAAAGTTTGCAAATTACCAATTAGGCAATTACCAAACGAATCGAAGCAGTGCAAACAAGGAGAAGCAAGACGCGCCATTCCCGATCATTCTCCATTTCTCCACCTTTCCTAGCTCGATTTGCGAAGTTGGTCGCCGACTACAGACTGGAAGCCTTGGACGGACCTCCTGTGGCCACTGGCTCTGACTTTGTGAACTAGGGTGAGCACCTTTTTCCTTCTATCGTTCTCGTTTTTGTTTTAATTTTTTGCTTTTTTTAATTTTCCTTCTATGACAAAGAAATGAGAATTGTGAATTTGTGATTTATGATAAAGAATTTATGTTGTATGAGTTTTGAGTTATGATTTATCATTTATCATTTAAAAGTTTTGATTTTGATTTGGGAATTTAGGTTTAGGAAATTAGGGATATGTGAAAAAAATTAATGGAGAAGATGATGGGCTCAATTGAACCATGTGTATTAAGCTATATTTTTATATGTATAAAATTTTCGTGTTAGTGCATTTACATATTTGTTGAAAAAAATTTAATATTATTTAATGAAATATTAATAACGACATCGTGATTGTCACCAGTCAAAAAGGTCCAACGGTCAACTACCCTAACTGACCTCCGATCTTGGATTCGCCACTGGTTAATATCTAGGTGGTTAATATTCAATAAATGAGGGAAATGATGGACCACTATGATATTCAAAATATTAACAGCACTACCTGGCTAGAAGAAAGACCAACATGGGCACAACTAACATATAAATTAATAGAGTACTTCAAATTTAAAATAGTTTAATAAATAAGTGTTGTTATTCTGAAACTGTAATGTTATTGGAATGATTAATACCAAATCTTCTTGACAAAAAATGGAAGTATCAACAAACACACAATATAAAGAGGTATAGGAAGAAATATACCTAAATACTGACAATTATAGAACAAACGAAAGCATAAGTCTCACTTAAAACCGAGTTTACTGATTGTATAATTCAACTATCTTGAATTTCCGTTTTCCTTTCATAGCAAGAAAGTTTGAAAACATCAGATGATCATTGTTTTGATGTAGTCAATAAGAGCATTCAAATTGCTATACGATGATCCACCTTCACTAACAGCCTTTCTTGCAAGCTTTGCCATATTTTCTGACCTTTCCAAGAACTCATCCTTCCTTTCTTCCATAAGCTCTCTGACTGCTTTCTCAATAATTTCTCTATCACAAGTATCTTTTATGTCTAACCCAATCTTCCAAACCTCACTCACAAACCTACTGTTAGTTGTTTGATCACCAAAATATGGCCAACAAATCATTGGCACACCAACTACAATACTCTCCAGAGTCGAGTTCCATCCACTGTGAGTCAAAAACCCACCCACTGCCTCGTGGTTCAGAACTTCTTCCTGAGGAGCCCATCCTACCATGTAACCCCTGGCCTTCGTACCCTCCTCTAATTCTATTGGAGTTTGATTCTTCCCATCTTCCCCTACAATTGAATCTGGTCTCATGACCCACAAGAACCTCTGTCCACTATTCACCAATCCATGCCAGAACTCCAATAGCTGCTCTCTTGTCACAACTGTAATGCTTCCAAAACTAACGTAGATTACTGAATTTGACGGCTGTGCATTAAGCCAATCCAGACAACTCCGGTCTTCAGCCCAGAAGCTTCCTGAAAGAACTGAATTATCGACCTTCTTCTCAGCCAGTCTCGACTTCAGGTGGGAATGATTTGGTCCAATGGTGAAGACTTTTGGTATGTGCTTCTGTATATGAGATACTATTGACCCTTCTAGATCTTCAAAAGTGTTAAAAATGGCTGCTTGCGCTCTCGTGGTTTGTCTAGTCACGGATTTCATCAATTGAAGGTTTGGCTCATAGATGTCGTTGACACGGCAAAAGCTGGGCAAGTCACGGAATCTTAGAAAACCTTCCATTCCCGGTATACTTTTTACTAATTGGTCCATGCCAATACCTGCAAAATTCATCAAGACAAGAAATTAAATATCTTTACACCTCTTTTTGACTAAATTAAAACAGATTGTTTTACTAGAAATCAGAAAAGAAAGTGGATACCTTGGACGAAAATTTCACCAGCTTCAATGAGTTCAGGTATACAAAAGGAAGCCCAAAAGGAGCAAGAACTTATAGTACGAAAATATATGAGGGGAATCCCTTTCTCTTCAGCAAAATCACCGGCAAATGTCAGGACCCCATCAGCTATGATGCAACTAATTGGTCTTCGGGTTCCAGAACCGAATAAATTCTTCTCTGACATCATCTGCTTGAAGAGTGGTCCTGTTATGTTTTTGGTTGAAGTCAGGATGTCCACGACTTGCTCGCCAACTCGAGGATGGTCATCAGGAAGCCCATCGGTAATGGACTGGAAATGGAACCCAGGATACTGCTTGAAACGCGAAACGACTGTGGTGTGCTTGAGGAGGCGGTTGTAGCTGAAATCAGAGACCATGAATGTAATGTCAAGGCCAGAAAGACACAGGAGTTCGGCTAGTTTGAGCATGGAAGTCACATGGCCCTGAACTGGCAACGGAAAAATGAGTACATGAGGAGGAAGTATGGCACCTTGAGAAGCCATTAGCAAAAACAAAAAAATTGTAATGAAATAAGGATATTGCTGTTGCCAATATTTGTCACGTTCCCTAATGTAGTTTATGCAATAATGCAACTAATCAGAGTCTTGCGGCAGAGAACATCAAGTACTTTGTCCTACTAGCACAAGAATCACATCTAAGAAAACATAAGACGCCACTGATGACGTCAAAATGGATTAAGATAGAATTGTGCTCCACCTCACAATAGTACATGTGGGGGACCACATGTGAGGGGTCCCCATGTGAGGGGGCCGTATAAGATGTCACTTGAGACTTCAAAATTTGGGTGGCACTTATGGCATGGTTTGATTCTGTTTGCTTTTCTTTTCTTTTATTTTCTTTTCTTTATTTATTTATTTTTTATTTTTGGAATCAAGAAAACAACAAAATGTTAAGCCCCTATTTTGTAGAGACTAAAATCAGAGTTTTAGAAGATTTTGATAAAAATTGATGAAATGTGTGATTAAAAATTTGCAGATCTCATAAAATATGTAGTTAAAATTAATTGTTGAGTTTGATTTAAATTAAAATCTAGATTATAATTCCTATCAAATAGGGAGCTATATTGTAGCGAAAATCTCTCGATAAATCTTGATTCCAAACTCAGAAAACAATCAAACGAACACCGATTTACCTTAACTCGACCCAAGACTTTCGCCTTTACTTTGGACTGCCCAAACTCTCTTAAACCCCACAAAAGGAGAAGGGATGGTGGTGGTAATAGGAAGGAGAAGAAGAGGCAACAATGGTAGGAATCACTCCAACAAACCCTCCAAGCCGACTGCCCCTCAACCCTCTCGGCCCTCTCTTACTCAAGGCCCTCTCTTCCACACACACCCACTCAATACCATAGAGAAAACGATTGGGAATATATATGGATATATGTAGCATAGGTTAGACACACAATTTGGGCCAAAAACTTGTGCAAAAGGGCGTCTTAAAACCTAAACTAATGGGCTACCAATTAATCCAACCCACAATCTACTAATTCAACAAATACCCTAAAGCCCAACACTTACCAAGATTTGGGCCATCCAAAAGTGTAGTTCGTCTTCAAGCTGAGTCAAGTCCATGGTGTCGATAAATAATCCGACAACTGTTTTAAATCACCACCAAGATTATTGGATATCAAAAAATTCAACAATCTCCACCTTGATGCCCAATAATCTGCAATCAACCAAAACACACAGTTTATACTTACACAATCAAGGTAATCCAATAAAATTAGAATCATAGACCTTACCTTGTGTTTCGAACCGAAATACATATCATACTTGTTCCATGTACTCACCAGGGCTAAGGTCAAGAATACCCAAGTAAAAACAAGTATTCACAATGAACAAACAATCATGCGATGAAGATATAGAGGATAACACACACACAAATCTTTTCAAAAGCACGTTCACATAGAAGCACAGATTAACACCTAGTTAATCAACACACGGTCACGCACGTATGCAACAAATGCATAAATGACCCAGATCGCACCACACTTATCATATCCCATTCCGTGTTACTCCCACCTTGAGAACACATATATCTTCTCATCGCCCATCATGCTCGCTAAACAGATCACTTAACTCATGTATAACTGGTAAGTCACAATAGATCCTAAGCTCTCGGGATAATCCTCTATCACCACATCACTTCTCGCAACCTACGTAGATAATGGGACTCCACCTTACAAAAGTGATAGAAGTATCTCTCTCACACTCCACCTGTACAGGGTCTCTTTCACAGATAAAGGATTCTACATATTTGATCACATCTCCACTCGTGATACAAATGTCAAACTCTACATCCCCTGGTGCAAAACACCATGTACCCCTAGGCATCTATACTCCAACTTAACAAAAGAACTAGCTACTAATGCATCTCAAACTCACTATGGCAAATCAACACCTTTCCGCGACCACAAAGGTTACTCCAATCACCAATGCTCCAAAATCCACAAAGGAATGGTGGCACTTACAAAGAGAATAGAAGAAAGATTCGGTTACTTCACCACACTCACAAAGGAGGCTCAAAAAAAGAGAAAGAAGATAACCCAAAAATGGCTGCCTCACACGATCTCACAAACCACACAAACTCACAAAGATAAAGGAGAACGGTTGCCCAACTTTTTTCTCACTACCACATTCTCGCAACACTCACAGAGCAAATAGAGTATGCCATAAATCTCAGCCCACTATGCATGCAAATGTATTACACAACGTAATAAGATCACCATCAATTCATGCAATTACACATATCAAACATATTGAAAATGTAACACATCAACATTGCAGCAGAATAAGTGATCACATACATTCAAAAAGAATTACACACGAATGCAATGCAATAACGAGGTTTACTCTCTCAATAAACCTCACTGGGTCATCACTC